TTTGTTTTACGTTGCAAATTGCATGTTATTACTCTTACTTTTCGCTATGAATATGCAACAGCGCTAATAAAACCAGTAGCGATCGTGTTGTTGACAATAACTAATACAGCATCTACCGATGATTAACCCAGTATCTAGTTTTCAAGGTCCGTAATAGTATTTTACCTGAAACCGTCAAGAAAATCTAAATTTCAGGGCTATTTTGACATTAGAAAGTTGATCTTTACCTGACTAGTACTGTAGTATTTTTGCCTGACTCCCATTACAGTCCTAGTACATGCAAAATAACAATTAGATCGTTCATTGAATAACTTATTCAATCAACGATTGGATAATTATAATGCTGACTATGTGGATATTTTTAAATATTAATATACCTACACAAAGGATAATGGTTTTTTAATTACTAATAATTAATGCAATATGTGTGGAAGTAATTATTCATTTAGTTTTGCGCCAGTCATTAAAAGGTTTGAACGCCTTTTCGTACCTCTTTCTTGACTTTGTGGGGAGCGAATATTGCACTACGGCGGCCGCAGCTGCGGCTACATTATAACAACGTCTCGTGTACAAAGCATAAACTGCAAACTGCATTAAATGCATGACATATTGTTTTAATTATTTTGAAATCTCTATGGAAATAATTAAATAAAGTGACTTTAGCATGCGTGATTAAGTATCAAAATTTCACACATATGACTAATTTAATTTGGAAAAGTTATCTACATGTTGCGGTTTCAGGTAAAATTTTATACATAATACGTCATGAAAGTGAGTCCACCTGACTTGGAGGCATTAAACAGATACTCGGTACTTTTCAATAAGCCTCCGCGTCATGTAAACGACCATTTTCATGACTTATTATGTAAATAACTATTACATTATTAGCCAAGTAAGTGAGTTTTTACTGGCGATAGGAGAAGTTGACTGGCGAGCCATCAGGGCCCGTATTCTGTAACTTTGATTTGAAAACGGTACGTTTTCAAAGCACTGAGCAAAGTGATACGCACAGCAACGCGATAGGCACTTGATTTTGGTATTCTAAATGCTTATCGTTCGCGCTTTTGGGAAAACGATTGGCACATTGTGGCATCGTTGTAAAAATTGAATGCAGGCAATCTAAAATCGCCAAATATCAACCGGCTTATGTCAACCTTGACGGAAAGTGCTTTCACGATTTTTGTGTTTCGAACCAAGACACTGTTGGGGGTATGAAGAAGAAATTAATAGAAATCTGGACTAAGTGAAATTTTTTATATTCAAAGGTGAAATGTAATTCCAGAGGTTGAAAAATCGTGGAAAGAATGAGGGAAGGTCTTTTATTATGCATGTCTTTTATATATTTAAATTCATGTAAGTCCTCCGCAAGGGTACTGGAAAAATGTATGTATGAATTTAACACCTGATGATGATTAAAGGTATCTATGACTTCATGTATCGCACGTGATACTGTTGGTTGGCTGGCGCCATTTGATTTCTTCGAATGCCTAGTCGAAAACTTCCTCCAGCGAAGAGCCGTAGAGCAGCAAATATTACTGTCACATACGTTGTTGACTGGGAGAAATTCTTGTAGTATATCTTCACCACGTCTTCTTTTCGTAACCGATTTCATTTTAGAAAATTATGATCAAATAGATCAAAAGGGTCCTCCGGGATATAGCGTTCTCTACGTTCCTCTACCCTTTCGATATTTTGTATTGCATTCAATTCCAATAACTCGTTGTTATAATTGGCCATTGCGCGAATTACGGGTTTACGTCAAACGAAAACGACTGGCACTTGGTAATCGTTTTCAAAAGCGTTTCGACTGGCGATCACTTTGCTAGGCGACTGTCATCGTTAGGTTACACAATACCAAAACGGCTACGATAACCACTAGTCCAGGAAATAGAGACTCAAAATGGACCATTTCCTGCAAAACGAGAAGTAGTTCCAATTTTTCTTGCATGTCATGAAAGAATATCTGGTGATTAAGAATCCAAGTTTTCGACCTCCCACCCCCTGTGCTTCCCCCGCACCACCCTTAAAACCAAAGAAATTTGGTTGGTTTTTTAGTTTTTCAATCATATCTTTTTATAGATTCATTTTACAAAAAAATATTGTTATCAGAAATTGTAGACTATAAAATTCTACACAACTTTCATATACACTACTTTTTTGTGAAATGTTTATTAAAAACGGTATAGAGCTTCAGAGTTGCTTATATTTTTAAGAAGTCTGAAATTTCTATGTAGATGTTTTAACCAAATTTTATACTTTATCTCTATAATTAAGAGTTTTATGAGAAAATATCTTGAACTTATCGTGGTATAAATCCCCTACGCTGCACCCTTACCAAAGGGGATGCATAATAATTCAACTTTCAACCCTTGCTAGTGGGGATATTTGAATCACTGTGAAATTGTAGGGCTTTCTAATATACGTTTGAAACAAAAAAATTATCTCACTTCAGTTCAGCTTCATCCTTAAAATCCTTCATCCCCCATCCCCCGCCCCCCTCCCCCCATCCGCGGTAGGAATAGATATTTAAAGAGGAATAGAACACATATGTAATAAGCGTTGTACTCTCTGACTAACTTTACAAGAGCGTTTAAATATCCATTTTTACCGCGCGGGGGGGGGGTGAAACTGAACTGAAGTGAGACAAGTTTTTAATTTCAAAAGTATATTAGAAAGCGCTACAATCTCACAGTGATTCAAATACCCCATTAGCAAGGGTTGAAAGTTGAATTATTATGCATCCCCTTTGGCAAGGGTGCAGGGTAGGAGGGTTTATACCACGATAAGTTCAAGATATTTTCTCATAAAACTCTTAATTATAGAGATAAAGTATAAAATTTGGTTAAAACATCTACATAGAAATTTCAGAATTCTTCAAAATATAACCAACTCTCAAGCTCTATATCTTTTTTAATAAACATTTCACACAAAAGTAGTGTATATCAAAGTTCTCTAGAATTTTATGGTCTACAATTTCTGATAACAATATTTTTTTCTAAAGTGAACCATTAAAAAGACGTGATTGAAAAACTAAGAAACCAACCAAATTTCAGGGGTTTTGAGGGTGGTACGGGGGAAGCACAAGGGGTGGGAGGTCGAAAACTTAGATTCTTAACCACCAGATGACTGTCTATGACATGCAAAAGAAATTGGAACTACTTCTCATTTTGCAAGTTAAAACCCTCTATTCCCTGGACTACACGTGGTGAACGCAAATTGACGTCATGAACGCTAAGCGTTCAAAAGTGCTCAGCGTTTTCATAGTTACAGAATACGGGCCCAGGCGATCCTGTCATCTCCTAGAGCCAGTAATAGTATTTTACATTATTAGCCAGGTAAGTGAGTTTTTAGTGGCGATAGGGGAAGTTGAATGGCGAGCCGTTAGGCGAATATCAATGAATGGATGGATACGTGGGGTGTTTCGACTCGAACTTTTTGCAGGCAACCGGAAACATCGGTTTCAAATAATCCAGTACATTATTCGCGGAGGTAGCACAATTAGGATCAGCGTAGGTTAAATGGGGGCAAAGATGCCTCTTTTTGTCATTGAAAATCTCACATTTCCTTTTCATTTTCCCTAACTTAAAATGTCGGAAACCACTTTTTTCCGAAGAATCTGAATCTGTTATCACGATTTCCATAACACACTAGAGATGTAGAAGCTACCGTCTGGGTCTGGCTACTTTCTTATGAAGAAGTTTATTTGAATGCACCGCCATGGTAACCTGTTGATTCAGTAAGATCTAGTCACCCGTGGATGTTTGATTGAGAAATGAATGTAAAACATACATGAACCATTTGATTTAAAATTTTTTTTATAAATTAATGTAAAAATATAGAGTGTGACACGTCATTATTTTTCTTTTTTTGTTCTCTATCTCAATTCGTAAAAATCCATAAGAAATGAGAAAAGTAGCCTGTAGCTTCTGTTGTCAATTTAGACGCCGCCGGTCTTTATATTGTTAATTTATAAGTATTTTTGTTAAGTTAGAATAAGTTCCATTTATTTTTTTTTTGTTTCAGAACTCTTAGAATTTTTTCCCTTTCAATCTTTCACACGCTCTGTGAGGTTTTACAAATTCCATAGGTTTATTTCAATTTATGACTTCCGTGTTCTTTCTGTTTTCGCCTGTCACCCTAATTTTTAAGTTATTTAATACGTGACTAGGCAAAGGAGCCGCTTGCATGTGGTCCTTTGCGCTAATATTGCAGCCCATATGGTTGCAATAAATGTTCTTAGTTTTAGGGTGTTAATTAGTCAATTTTTTAGTTTTCAAGCAGTCACATTTCGCCTACAATCGAAGTAGGTTGACTCAAAAGTTAGTAGTGCTCAATTTACATTAAAGGGTGTTGTAATTTTGTAAATAATTGTACATAAATTTGTGTCATGAAATAAATAGTACCTGTATAAGATTCTGTGTAAATGAAGATTTACAACCTCGTTTACAATAAAAGGTTTAGCTCGCGAACCAGCTACCAGAGCTATCGTCTCTAAGTTCCTATCGGGAACTTTTTCATTTATTCCAAACAGCTTCTACATCTAGCGTGTTATGGAAATTCTGAAAACAGATTCAGATTCTCCGAAAAAAAAGTGCCCATAAAAGATGCTAACGGGAACCGTCCATTTGCGACCGTTTAAGCAACAAATGAAAACCAAACTTGACATTTTCAGTGTTTCGGTGATATCTCTGTTATTGTCAAAGATTTTTCAAAAATTTCAAATGGGTTTTTTGAGGCACAGGTGGGCGAAGAAATTGACCCACCCTGCACCTATGTCTTCGAAATGGCAACTCTAATGAACCAAGATCCTTCCTCTTTTTTTGCCAACAATTTGAGCGTTTCCTTTCTAGAAAGAATGAAACTGATTGCAGCATCAAAATCGTTCCCAGAACAACTTTCTATATGCGAAACATAGAAAATTATGCATAAACTTTGGCGGCGCTTGTCTCACCTGTACTGTTTTGTTTGCGAAACACAGAGGGGAAAATATAAAAAATTGTTGTTTCCGCCCGGGTTCGAACCGGGGACCTTTCGCGTGTGAAGCGAACGTGATAACCGCTACACTACGGAAACATAATTCGTTTGCCCCAAACAACAGTTGTAGTTTTGTACGTCGTAAGGTTGTAACAGTATATATTAAACCGACCATACATTAGCGCACGGCGGTGTGCGGATCTAGTCCGTCGGACAATGTCAGCGGGAAAATTTTGCCATACACCCCGCTCACTTTGTTGCCGACCGCGTGTGTAGACAGACATTCATTTTGTTGAAAGCAGTGGTGATGGATTACAAGAAGCAAGTAGCTGCATCCGTAATTATCATACAAACTCAGTTACAACGAACACGGAAGAAAAGAAAAGTGTGGGTAAAAGAGTGGTTAAAAAAGAGAACCACTTTGTCACACATGAATCTTTTAAGTGAACTTAAGCTAGTAGCAGAAGACTACCGAAATTACCTTCGAATGGATGAAGACTTATTTATCACTTTATTGGAGAAAATGAAACCGCTTATTCAGAAAAAAAACACTTTAATGAGAGACGCAGTAACAGCAGAAGAACGGCTTATTTGTACATTAAGATATTTGGCAAGAGGCAGATCTTTGGAAGATCTTAAATTCTCTGCCGTAATTTCTCCCCAAGCTTTGGGACGTATAATACCTGAAACTTGTATAGCCATATTCAATGTACTACTTGCCGATGGATATATCAAGGTAAGTTTTATTTTTTCTTTTCATACAAATAATCTAAGTCCAAGTTTAGTTTCCTTCCACAGAAGAAGAATGGCTCAAAATTGCGAGAGACTTTAATGTGCGTTGGAATTTTCCTAACCGTGGGGGAGCTATTGATGGTAAACATGTGCGAATCACGAAGCCCATTAATAGTGGATCTTACTACTATAATTATAAAGAATATTTTAGCGTAGTCCTCATGGCAATAGTGAACGCTAATTACGAATTCATTTCTGTCAATGTCGGCACCAACGGCCGTGTCTCTGATGGTGGTGTAATAGAAAACACCACGTTTCACAAGAAACTCATTTCTGAAAAGTTGAACTTACCGAAAAACGAAAAAACTGCAGAGCACATGAATTTTGTTTTCATCGCTGATGATGCATTTGCACTACACAAAAATCTAATAAAGCCTTATCCATTCAAGGGGTTAAGTAAACAAAAAAGAATATACAACTACCGACTATCTAGAGCACGACGCGTAGTGGAAAATGCGTTTGGTATAATGGCTAATCGATTTCGCATTTTCCACACCGCAATGAACCTAAAGCCAGAAAAAATTGATAATGTCATATTAGCAGCGTGTGCTTTACATAATTTTTTAAGAATCCACTGCAAAAGTAAATATACAGGTTCGGGATCTCTGGACGTGGAAGACACAGAAAATAGGGCCCTTATACCTGGCGAATGGAGAAAAGATGAAGAAGTTTTGGGACAACTGCAACAATCAACTAGGAATTCATCTGATGAAGCGAAAGGAACACGGGATTTGTACTGCACATTCTTCAATTCCACAGGAGCAGTTCCTTGGCAAGAGGACATGATTTAGATTTTAGAATAACCGAAAATGTAGTAGAATATGTTTTAGTTATGATTTCATAATCTGTTAAAAAAATAAAATAGGGATTCTTATATCAATTTATGATTCTAAATCCAAATAATTCCCAAACAGAATGGATTTTTCATATAGTAAAAAATGCAACATAACAAACGACACAAGTGTGAAGCTTAGAAGTAACCTTCATGGCATAATATTAAAACATAACTCAAGTTTAAATATAACAATTTCGAAGCACTAACTGGATAAACTATGGATATTGGTAATACTTAAAATAAAACTAATATTTTTAAAGTAAAAAAATAAATATTCTAGTAACATACCTACATAGGTAGTGTACATGTAGTTCTACCCTATTTCAGAAGTTCATTTACGTTAAATATCTCTTTTTGTGTATCCGTGGATTTCTGTGAATTTTGAGAAATATTCGTGTACATGGTGGGTTGTGTAAGTTGCGGAGACGTCACCGGTTCTTGTTGGTTGATGGTTTTTTGAATTTCTTGCTGTTGTACCGATGTTGGATGATAGCTATAATAACTGTTCGCATTGTAGATGGATAATTCATTCATCGGAGTACTTTGCGTCCCATAGTAGGTACCTTGTGACTGTGTATGAAGATACTGACGATTTGGAGGCCTAGGATCACTGTATGGAACACTACTTGGACTAGGGTTTTTAGAACTCAAATTAATAGATGCATTTTCGTGGAGTCTCTTTAATGTTCCGTAATGCAGTGCAGTGTTTATAATATATTCACAGTATGTTCTTTAATCGGCGTCCATTTTTCGTAGTTTAGCAGCTACAGTAACTCCGAAATTGTCATATTCATCTGTACCAGGAATCGGTCTCTCCAGAATCTCGTATGCTTTGGCCAAAAGCGTGCTATTGTCTTTTGTAACTAATTTCTTCCTTTTCGTTGTAGGGTGCATTGTTTCCGCTGGCTCTGACTGTTGAATTTCCTAAAAACAAAAACCGTTACTTGAATAAAACAATATACAATAAGTACCCGGAAGTCAGCTTCCGCGCCAGAAATGTAATTTGGGGATTTTTCTTCCGCTGTTTGAAGTTCTTCCAGCGCAATATCATTAGAAATTGTGTCACGAGGTTCCTCCTGATCAGACGTGAAAAGCAGTAGACTATAGTACCATAAATGCGGAGTGTAAATATCGTCTCCCCCTGCGCCGGATTTCTTTGACTCCTTTACTTTTAGTAGTTCTCTTCTGAATGTTCGTCTTAGCGCACCAATTTTCTTCTTTATCACATCAACCGTAGCATGTTCATCAATTGTGTCTTTTGTGTACTTTACTAATTCTTTATATGCGTCTTCCTTCATATTTCTGTTTGAATAACATTTTGACTTTACTTTCCAAAGGCACGGAAAGTCATTATATTTTGCGAGCAAGCCGCGAATATATTCCTCTGAATTATATTTTCGGTTAACTTCTTGAATCTGGAAATCAAAAATATCAATATCATGATATTATGTATAGGTTTCTACTTTCATAAATTATTTTATTAATTGTAAAACGGGATTAAAATAATTAGCCATCAGTAGGTACTTAACTACTTACGGTCTTTTCCATGGTTAAATGCGTAGTTCGCGGTCCGTCCTTCACCACACACTAGCACATATACGCGGGAACTGTAAGGAAACTGTCCGAAAAATCGGGCGGGTTCAATCTCACTCACGAGGACTTTTGGTCCGCTAAACAGTGCGCGAACATTGACGGACAATGGCATACACAGGCACGTTTGATGTGCGACCAAGTCCGACGGACTAGATCCGCACACCGCCGTGTGCTAATGTATGGCCGGCATACAGGTGAGTAGAAAAAAATGCGATTCTATTTCTACGTATCTGTAAACCGCAAATTACAACCAAACTACGTATTATTAATTATTATAGTAAGCACATATTTAATTTTTAATTGAACATTAAATACATATTAAACTAAACGAATTGTTATTATTATTAATTGGAACACAAAAATTTTGGAAGATGAAAGTGTGTTTTGTGTTGGTCGTCTCCAGATTCATGGTGAGTTGTCTCGATGTTGATGGCAGATATAAATTAGGTGACTTATTTATAGCATCACAAATCAGATTGCTTGTTGTTTTGTGAGTCATGGACTCACCTACATAGCCCTCAGCCACTTTCGAGGACTTGCAACCTCCGAATCTCTTTAACAATAAGTATGGAACGCCGTTTTAGTATTTATACCAACATTTTATCATGTATCATTTTAAATAACAGTCAATCTTATGTCTCTAAATTTTTCGTTTGTTGTTTTTATCTTACGTATTAAGAGATTGATTAAAAAAATGTTTGTTGATAATTTTAATTAGGCGCTAGTATACACGTAGTCAAATAGACTAAACTGTAGTTCCTGAAACTTCCGCACAATCAGAGATACGAATTAAAATTATCAACAATCATTTTAATTAATGTAACATTTTAATTCAACAATCACTTTAAATAATTCTTGCCGATTTTAACAGCATGAATTCATATGATTGTTGAATTAAAATGTTCTCTGAAAATATTTGTACAATTTTATTCCAAAATTTTACAATGTGCCATTTTAAATAACAGTCAATCGTATGCCTCTACTTTTTACGTTTGTTGTTATTGTCTTACGTATTAAATATGATTGTTTAAAAAATGTTACTTAATAAAAATGTGAAATGAATTATATTGTTATATTGAATGAGTGTATATGAAACTGTATTTCAACAAACAATTAATAACAAACAATTAAATTGAATTGCACGAAATACTTCGATTAATAAAACGATTTTGTCCAACAAACATAAAAATTTATTCATTTTAAATGTGTAATTAAAATTATCAACAAACATTTTAATTCATCAGTCATATAAATTCGACGATTTGAAAATTGAAGCCGAATATTTTCAACAATCACTTTAATTCAACAAACAAATAAATTTTTATTGTTAGACGTAGTAAAAGAATCTTTTAAAATGATTGTTGAATTAATATGATTGTTGAATTAAAATGTTACATGAATTAAAATGTTTGTTGATAATTTTAATTAGGCGCTAGTATACACGTACCCAAATACACTAAAGGATAGTTCCTGAAACTTCCGCACAATCACAGATACGAATTAAAATTATCAACAAACATTTTAATTCATGTAACATTTTAATTCAACAATCATTTTAAATAATGCTTTCCGATTTTAACAGCACGAATTAATATGATTGTTGAATTAAAATGATTGTTGGGAATATTTGTACAACACTTCAATAATTGAATTAATATGATTGTTGAATTAAAATGTTTGTTCATAATTTTAATCCCACATTTAATATGAATAAATTTTTATGTTTGTTGAATTAGTTCTAGTTAGTTATATTACTGTTCGTTTATGTATTCGTTTGATTTGTATTGTTAAACTTTCGTTATACACATTGCTATATAATTCATACATCATTTCAATTAAGTGAAGTTTTTTAAACAAACCTATTTAATGTTTCACATAAAAACAACAAACATAATAAATCGGGAAATAAAATTAACTGTTGTTTATAATGTTACATTGTAAACTTTCGTAATAAAAAGTAAAACGGCGTTCCATAAATAAGTCACCATCTGCAAAAACCAAAATAGTAGCAAAAGTTTTTCTTAAACTTTTGGGGTTAGGCAAACTCACAAATTGTTTATTATATTTATACACCCACTACTTGTTTCGTGCATTTTTATGTATTTTTGTGTGTAATTTATATATTTCTTGCATGTGGCATACATTTTTTCAGCTACATAAAAAGTTCGTTGAATCTTTGTCTTAGTATCCGGTATTTTCATTATTAATGACTTTCCAGTGTCTTCCACATCTTTTGGAAATATATTTCGCCTTTCCATTTTCCGAACTGCACCACATATTTCAATTATATAAGGATAACCTTAAATGAAATGAAATTATTAACTTACAAACATCTTCTAACAAAGTGGTGGTACATACCTTAACCAATAAAAATTGTGCGTCAGAAGCATTATTTAAAAATGTGTCAAGGTGATCAGCAGTTGAAACACTAGCCTTTTTACAATTATATCCGTCTGATTTGCGTTTGAGAAATGCTTGAAACTTCGAATATGTTCTACATTATGCTTGAAATTAGTAGTTGCTTTAAGCATGGAATATAATATCATCCGTAATGTTGTAGGCTTCAGTTTCGTCAAGTGATGAATGTAGGTGTAGTGCCTTGTATTGGGGTTGCAGTTACAACGAAAACGAATATATTTACATAAACTACACAACTATGAACTATCACTTAATAAGTATTACAAAAGTAATTAAGGGGTTGCGCGGAGGCCGTTCTTACCGTACCGAAGCTGGGGACGAAGTGATTTCTCTCCTGCGGTCATTGGTTAGTGAGGGCGCTTATTTCCACGCGCATACGCACTACATAGGTATGCAAGAAACACGTGTTCCGAAAAATTTGCGAGCTTATTTTCTTCTCTCCGTTTTATAAATCTTTCATATAAATTGGCAGCAAATTGTCAGCAGCGGCATCTGCTTGTTGTCGGATGTCTGGAGGCATGTTACTAAATACATCTTCTTCGATTTTAATTTCAAAATGAAAATAAGGCAAAACCAAAAAGGATGTCTGTTAACAGTTTAGATATTTGTAGATAATTGTCACTTCCAAACGTAAATGATTTATTCTAATTTTTTTCATTACGCACGGGTGTAGGTAATGGGTACTATATCATGCCTTTAAATTATGCGGTGTGACCTCATTTTCAGAGATATCGTAGAAAAAATCCAATAATAGATTTGCGGACTCTGTGTGTATGCTCCAGAACCAAGCGCAAGAAAGGGGGTTGAATGTGGACTGTATATTTGTGATTATTATAATATTGAGATTAATCAATTTCCATATGTAGCCTTCACAAAATTAGTACCACAATCCCTGAATATTTTAACACAACGAGCCCGAGGGGGAGGAAACGTGTTAAAGCATCTATGAACAAATCAGTTCATAACGAAGATACAACGAATTTTGATAGTGTATGGTTAAAAACAGGGGACATATACCACTTAGGCTCAACGTAACAATTAAAAAACCCAGGAATTTAATTCTCAAATTGGAAACCGAGATCCTTTCCCGCTGAAAAAAAGGACTGTTTCCCCCCGGGATATATTTTTGGATGTTGTTGGGCGAGTTAGATATATCACCGTGACCGTGGCGGTGTACGCTTCACTGCCCTAATTTCTGTACATCGTTTTCTTTGATCCAGCCACTTAATGCATGGTCGGTGGCTGTGTGTCCTTATTTTTAGTAAGCGAGATCAGTGCTTTACGTCATGATTATCTTGCACAAGATGGCCCTTTTCCCCATGACAAACTCAAAATGATGCAGGGAAGGGTAAGTTCGTACAGTCATATTGACCTTCAGCCTTCACGGTTATCATAAATTTGTAACAACGTTTCCGTGGTGTAGTGGTTATCACATCCGCCTAACACGCGGAAGGTCCCCGGTTCGATCCCGGGCGGAAACAATCTTTTATTATGTATTTTTAAGCAACACTACCCCGTACCTGGAAATGTTGCCACATGTAAAACTGTTTATTTAACTTATTGAAAATATAACAAAAAGCAGTAATATAATATGTCGATATAGGGTGAAACACCCAGTTACAATTTTCAATTAACTTAAGAAACAATATCTTTATAATATGGATACCTCCAGTTAAGGCAACGTCCCATCATCAGACCTAGCTGCAAGTTACATATCGAGTGTTATGAGTTATGAGTGTCATAACATTCGATATGTAACTTTCAGCTAGGTCTGATGATGGAACGTTGCCTTAAGTTACGAAATCGACAACCAAAAGAAAAAAATTTCTAATTATAAGAATTCTATTCTACCTGAACATTTAAGGCAAGTGTTTGCGGACCTATATTTATATGAACTTTTTTAGTCATAAAATAAGCCAAATGATTGACTCCTTCTGTATATGTACATCATATTTAGGAACACCCTGTATTAGAGTGGATTTGGCAACCACTAAAGTTCAATTGCTTCAATGAATAAAAGGGAAGCAATGGGGTCTGTTTTTGACTCCCATACATTTTGATGCAAAGCAAAGAAATGAAGAATCAATTAAATTGACCGTATCAAAAATACTTGTTTCCGCCCGGGATCGAACCGGGGACCTTCCGCGTGTTAGGCGGATGTGATAACCACTACACCACGGAAACTTTGTTTATAAATTGTTGTTAACAATGCTTGAGACTAATCATCCCTGTATAAAAATGAAATATTTCCGCCCAGGTTCGAAAATCACTGATTAAAGGAAAAAACTCCGAGACACGTTAAAAGATTTGTCAAAGGGGACAACTTTTTAACCAACCCCCCTTTCACCCTCTGCCCCCCAGAGTCATTCCCTTAAAAATGTTATCGAGTAATAGCTTGTTTGAAAGGTTATTTTGACGTTTGATTTATTTAAAATCGGTCGATTCAAATTATGAAAATATTTAATTTATTTAATCAGTTACCTTTGTGGCAATCTTGGGATAGTGAAATTTAATTTACTGATTCAGATTTTACTTCCAAAATGGTCTACACACTAGCCGAAAGAGTGGAAATTATTCTAATTTATGGTGACCAAAATAAAATAAGAACTTCGAAAGACCTTTCAGCTATTAAATTCAATTGTCATTTAAAATTTTTAAGGGAATGACCCTGGGGCAGAGGGTGTAGGGGGGTTAAGTAGTATTTTGTTAAAAAGTTGTCCCCCTTGACAAATCTTTTGATGTGTCTCGGCATTTTTTTCCTCT